GGCCTGGGCAGTGGCCTGGGTGGCTCCCCCGACACTCACCAGTTCCTTCTGGCTCTGGATCACGGCCAGCGCGGCCTCGTGGGTGTGGCAGGACTGGCGGCCTGAGTTCCAGTCCCTTGGCTCCTCTGAGAAGTAGTAGCACTTCCGCCCATAAAGCAGCCAGTCCTCAGGACAGGGCGCCTCACACTTGATGCAGCCCTTCGATGCTATGGAGAGAGGGGAGCGCAGCAGAGGGGTAGGGGCTCACTGGAGAGAAGGGGCTCAGTGGAAAGGGGGCTCAGTGGAGAGAGGGCTCAAGGGGGAGAGGGGTACTCAGAGGAAGGGAGTCCCAGCAGAGAGAGGGGGTGCTCAGCAGAGAAGGGGCTCAGCAGAGGGGCAACTCAGTGTATAGGGTCTCAGTGGAAAGGGGGTACTCAGCAGAAAGAGGGGGCTCAGCAAATGGGGGTCTCAGTGGAGGGGGTTCTCAATGGAGAGGTGAGGGCTCAGTGGACAGAGGGGGTCAGTGGAGGGGGGCTCAGTGGAGGGGGTCTCAGTGAAAAAAGGGGGCTCAGCAGAGATGTAGGGTCTCAATGGAGAGAAGAGTCTCAAAGGAGAGGGGGACTCAGCAGAGAGAGGGGGCTCAGCGAATGGGGGTCTCTGTGGAGGGGGACTCAATGGAGAGGTGAGGGCTCAGTGGACAGAGGGGGGCTCCGTGAAGAAAGGGGGCTCAGCAGAGATGTAGGATCTCAGTGGAGAGAAGAGTCTCAAAGGAGAGAGACTCAGCAGAGAGTGGGGCTCAGCAGAGAGAGGGGGGGCCCAGCACCAACCTTTCCCACAGTCCCCAGGAAGTTATTGGGAGGAGTGGGAGAGGGATAAAAGAGGGGCTCAGTGACAGCTCACACTCACCACCCGCAGGGAAAGCTATGGCATGTAGGGGAAACGGTGTTAGGTGTTAAGTCCATGACTATCACCCCTGAGAAGTTGTGGGGTAGGAAAAGCGAGCCTCACTGCCCAGGTGGTGCCCATCACCCTGGGATGTTATGTGGGGGTGGGGGGCGGGAGGAAAAGGAGCTCAGCTTCTACTACCCCTGGGCAGTTAGGGGGAGGAGCCTCAGTGCCAGCCTGCACCCACCACTCCAAGAAGGGAGTAGGAGGAAGGGACTCCACACTCAGCCCACTCACTCAGTGCCCAGCCCACACCCCACTCAGAAGCACGGGGAAGTTACGGGGTGGGGAGTTGGGAGGAGAGGTCTCATCGCCCAGCCCACACTCACTGTCCCTGGGAAGTTGTGGGGAGAAGGACTCAGTACCCAGCCAGGACCCACTGTCCCTGGAAGCTGAAGTGCGAAGGAGCTAAACACACAGCAGCCCTGAACCCCCACTCCCACCCCCTGCCTTCCAGTGTTCTCTAGCGAGCATCTTGGAAAAAGAACAGTTCCTGGTAATCAATCCTGGGGGAACAAGAAAGGAAGAGTGAGCTAGACGGCCTGCAAAGGGTACTGAGTCAATGCTACCCCGACTGGTAGTAAGAGATGAAACCAAACTTCCTCCTCCCAACTCCCAAGGCAGGGGAAGCTCAAATCAGGCTGAGGAAACCACAGATCCTCTGTACGCTTGGGTAGGGGGCTACTCTGTGCTCTTACAGCCCATCTGCAAGCTTTGGGACCCACTCATGAACCGCACCTTCTAACAAGACAGTCCGCTGCGGACCTGCTTGAAAGCTCTTTTTGAATTCAGGTCCCAACCTGTCCCCTCCTGTGGTCCAGACCTACTGGCCCCCAACCTGACCTTCCTCTGCTTCATCACCCCCTCCTCAGCTCTCCCTCTGTCCCTGCAGAGTTGGCTGTCCTGGCCCGTGTCCATCTGGTCTAGCTCACCATATGGTACTGGGGTCCAAAAGGTGGCCACCGGCAGCAGGGGGCACTTGCTGGAGTTTACAGCGTGTAGACGTCTCCAGGACCAAACTGTGTGCCTTCGGGGCTGTGGGTCTGGGGGCCCCACTGGGAAGGGAGTTTAAAGCTTCCAACAGACCCTCAAAGGGTCCCCTGCCCAAGAAGCGAAGCCACATGCAGGATGTCCCCCTGTGCTCTACTTTCAAGCCCAGTCTCCCAAGCCCAGAGCAGGGACCATTTTACCTCCAAGGCAGAATCTTCCCTTGGCTTCTAACACTTATTTCAATCCCTTTGGCTCATCACTTGTGGTTTGTTGGGTTTTTTTCTTTTTTTATTTTATTATTACTTTTTGTGTATGTACCGTCAAATCGGATCTGACTGGTACAGGAGGAGATTGCCCCTCCATCTCCAGCAGAGCATCTGGAGGATTTGAACTGCTCTTCTCTGGGATTGCAGGGCAGCTTCTTGCCACTAGGACACCAGAGCTCCCTCACTTGTGGTTTTTAAAGATAAATTTCACCTTGGGCATTTCCATCTTTCTTATCAAGCATCCTCTTCGGATGATGTCAGCTGTTATGTGTCACGAGCATGCTTTTGTTTATTTTCAGTTAAAATGTAGACAGACCACCTAGTGGAGAGAGCTGACAGTGGTGTGGCTACGTTCCCACCTCCACAAGACCCTCCTGTAGGACTCTCTGCATGACTGAAGTCACGGCCTGCTTGCTGTGTCTACGGCAGTGCCTGACCTCCCAACCCACCAATGGAATGAAGGGAGACAAACTTGATTTGTAGCAGCTATTGTCAGAGACCCTGAGCTTGTCCAGTGAGCACCAGAACCCTCTCTGCATGCTCCCAAGCCTCTTATCAAGGAGGCTTGGAGATTATCAAAGCAGAGGGTGTGCCCCCACCTTGAATTCCTCATGTCTACTCTTTGGAGATCAAAGGCCACAGCCTTCGTGTGGATGACATCTCAACATCAAGGAAACAATCCTCACAACAGGACCAGCAGGTGACATCAGGATCAAAGGGGAAAAACATCAGAATTTGCAAGGAGTTCATTTTACTTGGATCCATAATCAACACCCATGGAAACAGCAGTTGAGAAATTATTTTTTTCATTGCATTGGGCAAATCTGCAAAATATCTCTTAAAAGTGTTCAAAAGCAAAGATGTCACTTTGAATACTAAGGTACACTTAGCCGAAGCCATGAGATTTTTAATGGTGCCACTCTGGAGACTAAGGTGTGCCTGATACAGGCCATGGTCTTTGCAATCACTTGTTATTTGTCAGAGAGTTGGACAATGACTAGGGAAGATAGAAGAAGAATTGATGCCTTTGAGCTGTGGTGCTGGAGAAGAGTATTGAATAAACCGTGGACTGCTAAGAAAACAAACAGGTTCATCCTCGGAGAGGATTAAACCAGGTTGCTCGTTGGAGGTGAGGATTCTGAGGCTTCATCTGACATACTTTGGACATGTTGTAAGGAGGCACCAGTCCTTGGAGGGGGACATCATGCTTGGGAGGGTAGAGGGACAGCGCAGGAGAGGAAGACCTTCAATGAGATGGACAGATTGAGTGACTGGGGTAATTGGGGTGAGTGTGTCAGAGACAGTGCAATTGGCACAGGACAGAGCAGGGTTTAGGGCTGTTGTACACAGGGTCGCTATGAGTCACAAACGACTCGATGGCACATAACAAAAACAACAATATACACATATTAAAGGCAGATACTGAATGGGGAAGAACTGAAGAACTGATGCCCTTCCATTGTGCTTTTGGCAAAGAACACTGACTATATGCTATATAATCAATAATACTGTGTACTGTATCGTTCTTCTGGACAGCCAGCAGAACTATCAAGTGTGCCTGGTTAAGTATAGCCAGAGCGCCCACCCAGTGTGTCCTGAGTCCTTGAAGCACCTCTGCTGTGGTCTACAGGGACACCTCACTCTACCTGCATGGTTTGAGAGGGGCTCCTCAAGCTCACACGCATGTACTACGTCTGGGGTAAAATCACGTCTGAATCTACACTTTTTCTTTGCTCCTCATGGAATACCCTGTGTGTCTGAGCCCTTCCTTCTCCATGACCGGGCTTCCAGGGGGTGCAGGCACACAGCACCCACATTTCCAGACACCCCCACTCACCCAAGATGCTCATCACCACCAGGATGGCAAACAGCAGCACAGCAATGGCCCCCAGCAGGAGTCTTGTAGTGGTGTCTGAGGAAAAGAGAGAGCTTCAGTGCCAGCTGCCACCACGCAGACCCTACATGTACCCCACACCCATCCACCGACCCTACCCCCACACCCAATCCATCCCACCAACCCCACCCCCACATCAACCAACTCCACTCTCACCAACCAACACCCCCCCACCCACAAACCCTTCCACGGTTTCCATCCCTACACCAAGCCCATCCATCATCTCCTGCCCAAACACTGGCACCAAACCCATTTCACCAATCCTGACTCTCACATCAAACCCATCCACCAAAGCTACCCCACATCATCCATCAATTCCACCCCCAACACCAAATCCATCCTACCAACCCTATCTCCAATATCAAATCCATCCATCAATCCCAACCCAACACCAAACTCAAATACCAACCTCAACACCAACACCAACTTCATTCACCAACCCCAACCCTACCCCATCAAATCCAACACCAACCCCATCTCATTAATCCCAACACCAAACTAATCCATCAACACTAAACCAATCCCAACATCACACTTAGCCACTGATACCAAACCCATACATCAACCCCAATGCCATTTCACTAACACCAAAGCCGTCCCACCAACCCCAACCCCGTCCCACCAGCCCCAACCCCGTCCCACCAGCCCCAATCCCGTCCCACCAACCCCAACCCCATCCCACCAACCCCACTTTAAACCCATCCCACCAATCCCAATGCCAAACCCATCCACACCAAACCCATCTCACCAATCCTAACCTCAACACCAAAGCCATCCACTAACCCCAACATCAAATCTATCCCACCAATGCCAATACCAAACCCATACTTCAACTGCAAACCCAAACCCAGCCACCAACCTCAACTATAGCACCAAACCCATCCACCAACATCAACATCAAACTCATACACTAATCTCACTCTTGACACCAACCCCATCCCTACACCAACCAACCCTACCCCACCCTGTGCTGCCTCTACCTCTATACCATCCTCACTCCCACCAACTTCAACTCCACTGAAACCATTGTCACTCACATACACACCCACTCCTGTTATTTTTGTTATGTCCCACCGAGTCACCTGCTACTCATAGCAATCCTATGTACAACTCTCCCGAATCCTGCTTTATCTCGCGCCAACCTTATTGTCTATGACACACATATTCCTATTATCCCAGTCACACACTTCTATCAACCTCACATGCCACCTCAACACCAAACCACATCCCTATGCTGATGCCTATTCACATGCCAATCTCACTCCCACCAACGCCATCCTTATGCCAACACTGTGCTCACAGCATCCGTGCTCCTATACTCACCTCACCCCTACTCTGGTCCACAGTCCATGCCAGAACCCAATCCCTACACCAACCCCTACACTCCTAACCACCATCACTCCCATCAGCCCCTTATGTCAACTCCCGCTCTCCACACAACCTCAACCCCCACATCAACCCCATGCAGCCCCTCCCGCCAGGGTCACTTCCACCCCTTATGCCAACTCATACCCACCTCCAGCCCCACACCCACCAGCTCCAACTCTACACAAGCCCAACCTCCAAGTCCTCAGTTCCATGTCAAATCTACCCCACACCAGCTGCATGCTCACGGGTGCCTCCCCCCACCAGCTCCATGTTCACGGGTGCCTCCCCCCACCAGCCCCTCCTCACGGATCCCTCCCACTCACTGATCCCACCTCCTATCAGACTAGGCCCTCATTGTGAAAAAGCCAGCTAGCTAAGGAGAGCAGCCCTGGACAGGGGACAGAAGATTCACTGCAGTGCATGCCTTCTTGCTCCTCCCACCCCCCCGGCCCTGTGTGAGAATGATGGGGTGAGTGAGAAAGAGGCCTGACCCCAGAATCTGCAGGTCCTCCAGGCTGGCTTTCACCCCGGCCCCTTGGTATGGCCTGACCCTACCCAGGAGTTGTCAGGACCAGGGCCTTCATAGTCACCTAGACACGACCCTTCCTCAAACTCCACTCCATCCTAGCTGAACAAGGAATTTTCTTTCTTCAGACCCCCAATACCCTCTGCTGCCCAGCGGATGCCAGCCCCAGTGTTCACTGTTTCGAGGATGTAAGTTTCTGAGGGAGGAGACCACCTGTTCCTCCCTAGGAGCTGCTGGTGGGTTTGAACTGCCGGCCTTTCAGTTAGCATGCTCTTCATTGCACTACCAGGGCGGCTTCCTATGATGCTAATTATTCAACTCACTGTCGTTGAAGTGGTTCTCAATCATAGTGACCCTCCGTCAGATCCCTAAGGTTATGAATCTCAGTAAGACTACCCACCCATCCCTAGAAGAACAGCTGGTGGATCTGAACCACCGGAGCCTCTGGGCCTCCGGGTCAGAAACTAAGCATGCTGTGCCACCAGACGATGCCGCTGCCGTGGACCACCGGGGCTACCAAAACCCTCTAGTGGATCTTAGCTGAGCGCTGGAACCTTGAGCCTGGGCCAGCACTTACCTTAACACTCTTGAAAAGGAGTTCACCACAGGACAAAGATGTTGTTCAAGATTTTACCCACAAAATCCTTCACTGTTAAGACTTGAAGGTTTATTTTTTTAATCTTTTTTTTTTATTTTTTTGGGGGGTGTGTGTGTGCATGTACCGTCAAATCAGATCTGACTGGTACAGGAGGATATTGTCCCTCCTTCCCCGGCAGAGCATCTGGTGGGTTCGAACCGTGCACCTCTGGGATTGTAGTTGCAGTTCCTTGCCACTAGGCCACCAGAGCTCCCCTATTTTTTTATTTTAACAATCACATTATCCTTTTTTTTCCACTTTCTAACTCCATGTCTTTTCACATTTCATTGTAATACTTGACTTTGTCTTCTCAAGCTCCCCTTTGAAAGATTCCATTCAGCTCTTTTACTCCATTTCTTTTTCTTTTTTGTCAACCACAGAAATCCATTTTTATTAACATTCTTCAAGGGTCCTTTCTCGCTGTTTATGCAAGGCCTCTGTGCCTCTTCTGTGGGGCCTGTGACATCTGTGCTATATACTGTGTGCCCGGTTCCAAAATACATGGTGGGGGAGGGCTGTGGACATAGAGGCGTCCCTTCCAGATGGTGCCCACTGTGTGCCATCAGCCCCAGGAGCATCTACCTGTGATTGTACCTGTGCAAGTGGAAGTTGATGAGGTAGCTCACAGAAGACGGCCCAGAAAAGGCCAAATCCAACCACTACCTTCAGGGCAACGCCCAGCTTGCCCGTGCACAGCTTCCAGCAGACCGTCTTGCCCATCTCATGGTTGGACAGGACCACCTCCAGTCTGCTGTCCTTCCACTGATGTCCTGGATCCCACACTCCCGGGTCTGCCTGCTTTCTTTCCCAGGTAGTTCTGAACACAGTTGCTTAAAGGCACAGCAGCGTCTGATCTACGTCCTGTCTGCAGCCGCTCCTCCATGTGTGCCTGATGGGGGTCTACCAGGTTCCCTGCTCTGCTTAGTCAAATGGGTGTAGGACATGTGTCTACAGAGAGTGTACAGGGGAGGGAGGAAACACCCCTCTCAGCACCACCACTCCATCATTTCTT